AATCCAGGAGTGCTGGCTCCCAACTGCTAGCTTGCCTGCCTGATTGCCCCTAACTGCTTCTGTTTGCCAGCCTGATCACTCCCTATCCACAGCCCTGTCAGCCTGATTGAAGCCTAACTGCTCCCCTGCCAGCCTGATTGCCCCTAACTGCCCTCCCCTGCTGACCTGATCACCCCTAACTCTCCTCCCCTGTAGGCCTGGTCACCCCCAACTGCCCTCCCCTGAAGGACTGGTCCTCCCAACTGCCTTCCCCTGCCGGCCTGGTCATCTCTAACTGCCCTCCCCTACTGGCCTGGTTACCCTTAACTTCCCTCCCTTGTCAGCATGGTCACCCCTAACTGTCCTCCCCTGCTGGCCATCTTGTGTGTTGGAGTGATGGTCAATTTGCATATTACTTCTTTATTATATAAGATGAAACAGAAGAGGTGCTTAATTTTGGAGCCATCTGCCTTCTTTATGTGTGCAGAGTACACTTAACACAGTATGTGGTGCAGCATCTGATAATAAAAGAAGTGTGTATTCAGATGAAAATAAATGCATTGAGAGGTTTCATATGAAAAAGAGGTTAATGGATTTCAAGAAATAAATGGACTCATGTTTTTTCATTCAATTCCAGTGAGGTTTGATTCTGTTATTAAATTGACTAATGGTTGTTGGTACTTGCTTTATTCTTATCAAAATAATTTAAAATACATAGAAACACAAGATATTTCCCGTTAGCTAAAAAATAACAGGTTAACAAGTGATTCATGTATGCTTGATTTGTCCCTTCACTACTTATTTTAAAACAGAATGAATGGTGATTTGAAAGAGAGTGCTGTTGAATCAAGCTTGATTAGGAATTAATCCACTGGTTTGACTAGTAACAGTGCACAGTAGATACTTAAGATATTTTCTAGAGAAATTTTAAATTTCAAAATGATTTTATTAGTAGTGTGAGTGGTGCAAAATGTCTTATGAAAAATCTTAAAGAGAAGCAAGTCTTACCTAAGAGCACTTAACACATCAGGATTTGGTATCATATTGCACAGTAATCAATGAATTAAGCAATTTCTCTCAGCAGCCCAGGTGCTACCTAGTAATAACAATATACATAAGCAATTTTATGAACAAGTAATAATTTTTCAAAGGAATTAAAAGATGATCAACCAATGCATGCCATCTATACCAGAGTTTAAAATGAATCCTCCTAAACAAAAGGTTTTACTTTGGAACTGTAGGCTAGATTATTTCCTACTTAATTCATCTTCCATTAGGTGTCATCTTACTTTCCATTGAAGTCACATAGCACTTTTCTATATCTCTATTTAGGCACTTTCTACTTTCTTATCTTCCTTTTTTATTATCTTCCTTCACTAGAATGAGAGCACTTTTAGGAATCTGACTTTTTCATGGGAATCTGACTTTTTCATGCTTGTATCCTCCATGGTTCCTTATATTGTATATAGGAAGGGCTAAGTTGTTGCTGAACCTTGGATAACCACAGATCCATTCAAAATATCCAAGATGATAGGAGGTAGCCTCTGAAACAATAAAAAGAGAGTTTTAAGATGAATTAAAAACTATTACTAAGTTGATAATATAACTCCTTATATTTCAGGAAATGGTCAAAACTGAAAAAAATATACTTTTTTAATTCAGCAAGTTTTTACTTGAGCTGCTGAAGCATACTACTTTACTATGATCAAAGGCTATAAGGGTGAATGAGATGTGGTCACTTTCCTAAAGGATCATCAATGTGCTAATTTTATGGAAGGCGCATTTTTTTTGCATTTTAAAATCTATAAATGGTTATTAAAAAAAGCTAAAGATGTTTGTGATTATAGTGTTAATCTTAAAAGAATTTGTCTCAGAGGGAAACTGTGTTTCTCTCAAACCCACCCTGCAGTGCTATCTCACTACTAGTTTCAGAGAATGAACTAGATGATTATACTTGAACAACTTTTAATTGCTCCCCCTCCCTGAGGATCTAATGTACTAGTACTTATTTGTGATGATGCAACATAAAAAAAGTTAAATGTATTTTATTAATATGAAACTTGCTTACTAGGTCTTGTCTCAACTTCAACAACTATCAAAGCAGATTAAATGACTAGCACAACTTTTACACTAAAAATAAATCACACTTTTCATACTTACACACTCAAATTATATTTAAATGCACAATACTAAATATAGTTTCTTAATTTTTAAACTGCATGTGAGTATAAAATTTTCTTGTAATAGATCAGTTTTGTTATGTAGTTACAAAATTTGGTCTCTAACTAAATGTGTCTTTCTGAACTAGGACTTTGGGGAGATGGGAGCTCCTCGAGTATTTAATATAAGACTTGTGCTAAAACTTTATTTTCATGAGTGAGGAGACATGTGTAGTTAGTTCACAAGACAGACTCCCACATTTTCTTTTTCTTTTATCACTAGTGAATATTTTATTCACCAGAATCACCCACACACATATCTCAAAACAATATGTGTTTATAATTCTTTCCTGCTAACATATTTAATATATGCATTTTTAAGCACTTGGAAGTACTATACTAATATAATGTTTTTAGACCAAAAAATTGCCTTAGTTTTTACTACTACCAGTATATCAAGATGCCATAACTTGGATGGTTATAAATAACAGAAATTTTATTCTCACAGTTCTGGAGGCTAGAAGTTCAAGATCAGGGTGCCAACATGGTCTGATTCTTGTGAGGGCTGTCTTCTGGGCTGCAGACTGCCAACTCACATTGCAGAACTGGGGAGCCAGAACTCCCTGGGGTTCCTTTTGATAAAGCTACTAATCATATTCATTAGGGCTCTATCCATATGACCTAATTATCTTCTAAATCCACACCTTTTACTATCATCACATTGGGGGCTAGAATTTCAACAAATTAATTTTGGGGGGACACAGACATTCAGTCCATAACAAAAATTTCTAACAAGAATTCCCCAGATGTATCTTTTAAAAAATATATATTTTATTGATTTTTTTACAGAGAGGAAAGGAGAGGGATAGAGAGTTAGAAACATCAATAAGAGAGAATCATCGATCAGCTGCCTCTTGCACATCCCCTACTGGGGATGTGCCCGCAACCAAGGTACATGCCCTTGACCAGAATTGAATCCGGACCTTTCACTCCGCAGGCCGACGCTCTATCCACTGAGCATACCGGTTTCGGCCCCCCAGATGTATCTTACAATATTGTCATTTGCCTCCAGATTGCTAATGCAATAATGCTGTGCAGAGAGTTGTCACTGACAATAATAAGCAATAATAATACTATTTACATAGCTCCTTTCATCTTGAATGTTCTTAAAACATCCAATAAAAGAATCATTTTTGATGTGTAACCATCTCTGGGGAAAACTTGGAAGCTATTTAACAGCTGGCCATCAGTTAAAGACAGGAAATGAAGAACATGTTTCCCAGCAGAAACTGCAGGATATATAATGTAATTACCTAATTTAGAATTGGTTTAGGACACTGGAGCTAATTAATGTTCATATCCTTGAAAAAGTGGCATTGGACAACTAGTGAGTACAGAGTGATCAGGACTTCAATTGTACATCTTAGCTAAAAGACAAGGCTTCCAATAACAGTATCTTTGCAAATGCTCACTCACTGCTGCCTGAGCACTGAGTGTGAAGCAATCAAGAGAGGTGATAATTTCTTAGCTGGGAATATAACACACACACACACACACATACACACACACACGCACGCACGCATACACCTAAAAAGTCTGTGGATTTATTGAGTGAGTTTGCAAATGCAGCGATGTGTCCTAACACCAAGTGGCAACTGTGAATTACACTAGGCAGCTTCCCTGCTTCTTGATTCTAAAGGGCAGGTGTGCCCCATTGCATGAGAAATCGCCAATGAGAAATTCACCAAAACCAAAAAGTATGGAATACATTTAATACATGCTTCCAGAAACCTCACATAAACAGAAATTTGCCAGCAGTCAGTTTCCAGGAGCATATACAAAATGAGAACTCCAGTTGTCTGTAACTTGCCACAGAAACAGCAGGATGTGACCAGCTGCTACTCATATCTCCAGCAGCCTGGTCTTGGATGTGCCATCAAATCTAGGCTGCGGCAGTAGGAGATGAGAAGTTGCCTGCATGAGGCAAGCATTTGAAACTAAAGCAAGGTGGGAAGAGCAGGGCTTCCTGCATCCCTTGCCTGAATTGAGTCATGGCTTAAGGCAGGTGGCAGATGTTCTGAGTTAGTGGAGTAACTATGCCCCTCTTGTGTTATAAACACCTAGAAGCAGGAGTAGAAAAAAAATTCAGGAACACATTGCTTACATTCTGAAAAAGATTGATGAAAAAAGATAATTTGTTTGACAAAAGTTTGCTTTAGAAGCAATTTTACTGGGTGGTAATTATTAGCTAAATCAAGTAATGCTCAAATATAGTGAGATCTGCTGCTAATTAAATGGTTAAATATTGGAAAGGCAACAATAATAATGAAAAAAAAAAAACCAACCTATGAGCATTGAATAAAATGGTTGAGGGTAGACATAAACACTTCTTGAATAGTTCAGCTGGAGAATAAACATTTTATTCATTTGGTATGTAGTTCTCATGCCTTTCTTTCCAGGGATATTTTGATACTAATACTGGAGTATGAGGTTATTCCTATCTTCCTAACTCCCACCCCATCACATTACTTAGAAATGATTATAAACATTTAGGATTGTAAGTGGAATGAGGTTGATTTCCTATACTCAACTAAAAATGCAAACTATATAAATCCAAATTGAGCAATGTTGAAGAGTGAAATCCAGGATCAAGTATAATAAATTTATTTGACATCTTTAGGCATAAGGGTCACTTCACTTAAGTGACGTTTCATACAACTGAAGTAAATATTGACTTGATTTTTAAAATTTAAACATTAAAAAACAATTTTAAAATTATATCTAATGAGTATTCATTAAATAATTAATAGAATTATCATTTTAAGTAACTCCTGATGATTAAAATAATGATCATTTATGGATAGAGGCCTGCACAGGCAGCAGGAAAATTACTCCCCTGCCTAGTAATTGTAAGCTGGCTCTACTTGACCAACAAAAACCACGATAGGCACTCAACTCTGTGCCAATTACCCAGTTCTTTAGGGCCCTGGGACCGACACCGTGATGCTGGTGTCCTAACTAAGCCCATTCCAGCTTTTTCAGGTTGGTAGGATGAAAAGATAGGGCAGGTGATGGCAGCTGTGAAGAAGAGGAAAGATTGAAGGTCTCTGATATAAAGACATGAAGAGAAGACTGCATGAGATGTGGACCTTTGCTCCCAGATACCCCATCCTGTCCTGGAACAGTTAGTAAGTATCCATCTAGCATAGGTGCCCCCACCCCCTCCACTGGAAGTGCAAGAGATCACTGGTAGTGAGTGGCCTCCTCCTGCTGATAGGTATCCATCCGTTCAATCTGCTGCTCCTTCCCATGCTTCCTAACTCCTGGTTCCTCACTCCTAGGCAGGCTCCTAATATTTACCTTGGGCCTCTGTTGTTTGGCTCTTGTTATTTGTTATTTGGATCAGTTTTTCCTAGTCACCAATCTCCCCTCAGATATCCACAGGGTACAATGTAGCTACAGCCATAGGTAAGAGACCTTGCAGCCTGCCTGTGGGGTAGCCTGAGGGATCCACAGAGGCCACCCTGAGGCTGCCCAGCCTCTGCCTCAGGACATTGGGATTCAAGACTTCCACTTGGGCCACATTAAATTGCTCAGGCTTCTTGAGGAGGACATGAATTTTCCCACTGCATTATTCAGTATGTGTCGTGTCCTCCTGTGCTGCCACAGTGCACAGTCTGAGCCTCCCTTCGGGCCTTACCACTAACTGCCCTGTGTTACTGTCTGTTGTGCCCTCCTGGCCTCTGCTAGGCTGTGAACTCCTTGAGGGCCAAGTCTGACTCCTCACTGTATCCTCTTAGAACAAATGCCTTTTCTATCACACTTCCCTGTCTAGGACTCTTGAGTCCTCTCTGTCCTCTGTACCAAACACAGGGCCTGGCACAGAGTAGACAACAGTGAAGCTATGCTGGATTACTAACGAAGTTAAAGACCCTTGGCCTTCAAAGCTGACTGAGAAGGGGAGGGTGAGTTCCCTCTCAGGGAGGAGCATGTCACATCCCTCTAGATTAGGGGTGTCAAAATCAATCAGAGAAGGGGCCAAAATCTAAAATCGCGGGCCGAATGGTTTACTGAACAGTCATAAACTGTCATTGTGATGGAAACGCAGCGGAGTGCAGTGATGACAGCGCGGTGCGGGCCACATTGCAAGGCCTGGCAGGACGGATTTGGCCCGCGGGCCTTGTGTTTGACACATGTGCTCTAGATTCATAGCACTCTAAATGTGCTGAACACTCACTCCAAATGGGTCTTCTCTGTGCTGGCCCCTTCCACGTCAGTCACAGGGTTTCCTGGGAACGAGCTTTTCTCCGGCTGCCTGGACATGCCAAGGAAAAACTGATCCAAATAACAAGTAGCCCAAGCCCAAAGCAAAGCCTTCACTTGGAGTTCTCATGTCACTGGTAACCCCCCCCCCCATCTAATTGGGTTTTTATAGCTACTACTCCTCCAGGACTCAGAGAGATGGCCCATGCATGTCTTGATTCTGTGGTACCAGGTGCCACAAGTGCTCTCTGTACTGTGAAAACTACCATGACTCCTTGAAACAAGGAAGACGAATAAAAAGCATAATTCTGGGGACTACTAGTTTTGTTGTTGTTAAGGAGACTGAGATTGTAATCATTCTTATACTTATATTTAGTTTATACCCAACTTTTTTTTTGATTTGAGGCATTTTCTTGCTTTTCGTACGAACTTTAACTCTCAGAAAACATTATTATAATAATCCTTTGCACTTGTACACACTGATATTTGAACATAGTGACGGATTGAGGGAAGCAGGGCAGAGGTGACCATGACTGGTTTGATGACACATTAGCTGTTAAGTGGAGGTACCTGGGTGCGAAGAATCCCCCTCTGGCACCAGCCTCAGTGCTTTGTCACCCACGTTTAATTTCTTTTTTCAAAAATACCTTGAGATTACTCTCAAAGTGCAGTTGGAGAGGCCACAAATATTACCTCAATGAAGTGGGATAATAGCTTTTGCTTGACTTCCTTTTTGTTACATTGGGAACTTAAGGCACTACTGATTCCGCCAAATGTTTCAGCTTAACAATTCCAGTCCCGTCTCTAGGTCAGCTGCCTTTTTTTAAAAAAATTGACTATTGAAAAAGTTTCAAATGGACATATCTTTTGTTGTACCACTGAGAGTCTTATAACGATGAAAGAATGAAGTTGAGAGAACTGTGAATTTGCCTCTAGAAGAAGTTTTACAATAATTCTAGAATTGTATTTTAAAATCCAATGATCTTTTTGTGTGTGTTTTGTTAGATTGCCTAATGTCTGAGGGACCTTTGGGTTTGAGAGGAATATGCACCACTATGTAAATTTTAGTGCTCTGTTTATTAAACTCATATTCAATAAAACATTGAAAATAAAAAAATAAAATAATGATCATTTGTGTTAAAAAAAAAAAAGTGATACTCTCAGATGTTATAGACATTGTAGGGATTTTTGCACAAATGATCAGCAAAACCATACACTTTATGCTTCAGACTGTTTTTTATAGTTATTCTGCCTTTGGATTGGCAGCTATCAGGTTAATGTGTCTGCAATGCATTCCTTTTTTAAAAAAATATTTTTCTGATTTCAGAGAGGGGTAGAGAGATGGAAACATCAATGATGAGAGAGAATCATTGATCAGTTGCCTCCTGCATGTCACAGCTGTGACCTCCTGGTTCATAGTCAATGCTCAACCACTGAGCCATGCCAGACAATACACCCCCTTTTAAACCACATTTCTAATTTACTGGTGCTGTTGCATTTTGCATTAAAACAATATAATAAAGCCAGTGAGAATTTGACAATTACAGATGTGGGATATTGTATCATTTGCTTAATAACAAATGCTTCAGTTGGTGATTTTGGATGGCTGAAAACTCAAGGAGTCCAAATAAATACCAACTTGCAGTTCACCGTACTTCATTAAAAAAACAAAACAAAACAACAACAACAACTAATCAGGAAAGAAACAGAGTTATAGAGTAGAGCCAGGATGGGTGGAAAGAAAAAATTTAATGTCAAGCCTAAGAAAACAATTCAGAGTCTCAAAACTCAGTAGAATTTTTTAAAATTGTAGTTTCTTTATAATAACTGTAATGACATAAATCTTAACATTAAGGTAGTAAATTATAAACCTGCATAAAAAATCTTAATGATAATCCCAAAGCATCCATTTCAAATCTCTAAAGTTATAACTGGCTAAATAATTTTCCATATTGTCAGCCCATCTTTGTACCATCAGTTTTATTAATTCCGGACTGGATCATTGGAGTTAGAATAAGTGTAATAAATATTTTCATATATGCATTTTTTCTTTTTTTTAAATTCATTGAGATGACATTGGTAAACAAAATAATACAAGTTTCAAGTGTATAGTTCTACAATGCATTATCTGTACATTGTATTGTGGGTTCACCAAGCCAAGTTTCTTTCCATCACCATTTACAAACCCCCACCTATACCCTCCTCCACCTTCTCCCTCTCCTTCCCTGGCAATCACCATACTGTTGTCTGTGTCCATGTGTTTTTTTGGTCTTTTTCCCCCCCTCAATCCCTTCAACCCCCTCCCACCCAGGCTTACATCCCATACAGCTGTCAGCCTGCTCTCTATTAGTCTGTTTCTATTTTGCTTGTTACTTCATTTTGTTAGTTAGATTCTACATATGAGTGAAATCATATGGCATTTGTCTTTATCTGGCTGGCTTATTTCACTTAGCATAATAGAACTGCCTTATGACCCAGCAATTCAATTTCTGAAAATTTATCCAAAGAAACTTGAAACACTAATCAGAAAGAATATATGTATCATTATGTTCATTGCAGCATTATTTACAATAGCCAAAATTTGGAAGCAGCCCAATTGTCCATCAGTAGATGAACTGTGCTACATTTACACAATGAAATACTATTCAGCTATATAAAAAGAAGGAAATCTTACTCTTTGTATCACATATGAATTTGAAGTTAGGTATTATGTCCAACATTAGTCTTGTTTTCCCTCCACTTAAATTATCTGGAGTTGCCTCACCTCTTCTTAAAATAATACAGTTTCTGCCCTAGCTGGCTTGGCCCAGTAGATAGAATGTTGGCCTGTGGATTGAAGGCTCCTAGATTCTATTCCAGTTAAGGGCATGTACCTTGGTTGCAGGCTCCTTCCCAGCCTGGACCCTGGTCAGGGCATGTGCAGGAGACAACCAATCAATGTGTTTCCCTCACATCAATGTTTCTCTCTGTCTTTCCCTTTCTCTTCCACTTTCTCTAAAATGCAAAACTATCATTGGGTGAGGATTAAAATAATAATAATAATAATAATAATAATAATAATAATAATAATAATATGATTTCATGTCTTCCAATCATCCTGTTTTTCTTCTGTCCATATGTTGCATTTTCTCAATGGACATTCATAACTAAGTGCAATGGTCTGGCTATAATCTTGCCAATATAGTCTGAGATTACCGTTTGTGCTATTTAATTTAAACTCAATGCTTTTTCTGAGTGCTTTTGCATCCAAAGCATGCTATATTTTCTTTTGCCATCTTTCTGATATTTTATATATTTTAAATCCAAGCCCTCTTTATCTGAGATACATTCCAAGACCCCTAGTAGATGTTTGAAACCACAGATAGTACTGAATCATATCACTAATAAATTTAAATTTATAAATTGGGCTCAGTTAAAGATTAACAACTAAAAATAGAATAAAACAATTATAACAACACACTGCAAAAAGAAGTTATGTGAATGTGGTTTTTCCTAAAATATCTTATTGTACTGTATTCTCCTACCCTTCTTCTTCAGATGATGTGAGATGCTAGAGTGCCTTATTAATTGAGAACTTTCTCCTTTTTACTTAAAAGAAGTTCTTTACTCTTCTCTTTGGCATATCTGAATTGTCAGCATCACTACATTTGTACTTTGGGCCATTGTTAAGTAAAATAAAGGTCACTTAAATGCAAGCACTGTGATACTGTGAGAGTTAATCTGATAATCTAGATGGCTACTAAGTGATTGATGGGTGAATAGGATATACAGCATGAATATGCTGGGCAAAGGGATGATTCATGTCCAAGGATGAGCATAGCATTATGAGATTTCACCACTTTGTTGAGAGTGAAATTTAATTTAAAAGTTATGAATTGTTTATTTCTGTAAGTTGTCATTTAATATTTCAGACTGTGGTTGACCATGGATAACTAAAACCACAGAAAACAAAACTGTGGATAAGAGGGAGCTACCATATGCAAAAGGGTAATTTTATATTTGAAAATGGTAGTTCGCAAATGTGCTAGATAGTATGAATAATGGGATAGTTCAATTTTATAGCAGTTGCTTTTCCTAAGGTGTCTCTAAGAAACTTTTTGGACACTTTGTCTGAAGTCACTTTTTTAAAAAAATATCTTTATTGTTGAAACTATTAAAGATGTCCCTTTTCCTTCCCCTCATTAAACCTCTCCACCTTGCTCCTGATCCTCTCTATCCACTGAGCCAAACCAGCTAGGGCTAACTGTAGTTATTCTTAATATGTTTAACCTTTATATTACACTTAAGTGATTAACATACCGCCATATTATGGCATTAGATTATACTATATTTTGCTATATAATTATTTTACAGTTGAGATTTATACTTTTGTATATTTTTGTTACTAATTAGCATGCTTTTAGTTCAGCTCCAGGAACTTCTTTGAGCATTTTTTGTAAGGCAGGTCTATTGGTAATAATGTTTCTTAGTTTTTGCTTGCTTGGGAAAGTCTTTACCTCTCTTTCATTCCTGAATGACTGATTTTCTGGGTAAAGTAGTAGAATCTTTCTTCTGCTTGATCAAGCCTAATGTTTGTGTTCTCCATTGAATTTTTATTCAACATTGTGTTCTTTAGCTTTATAATTTATGTTTGTTTCTTTTAAATGGTTTATATCTTTCTGTTGGACTTTTAATTTTATTAGTGTATAGTTTTTATGAGTTCATCTAGCTATCTGTGTTTTTATAGCTCACTGAGATTCCTAAAAATAATTATCTTGATTTTTTCCATTTCATAGATCTCCATTTATCTGCGGTTAGTTGATGGAAAATTACTGTTTTGTTTTGTTTTGGTGGTATAATGCTTCCTTGATTTTTTTTGTCTTGTAATCTTGCATTGATATCTTTGTATCACATGGAGCAATCACCTTTTGCAGATGATATGGACTGATTTTTTAAAAATATATTTTATTGATTTTTTACAGAGAGGAAGGGAGAGAGATAGAGAGCTAGAAACGTCGATGAGAGAGAAACATCGACCAACTGCCTCCTGCACCCCCCCCTACCGGGGCTGTGCCCACAATCAACGTACATGCCCCTGACCAGAATTGAACCTGGGACCTTTCAGTCCGCAGACCGACGCTCTACCACTGAGCCAAACCGGTTTCGGCAGATATGGACTGATTTTAAAAGGAAAGACCATCACCTGTGAGGATACTAGATGAGTGGAGTATGATGGTCATTTCTCTGAGAAAGGCTGTCATAGTCTCTGTGTAGCTCCATCAGCTAAGGCAATTTTTGATGAAGATTGTAGAAATCATCAACAGCCAAGGCTATGGGCATCAACAGTGGCAGTGAGGGCTGACAAAGGCTGCTAAGGACCTTTGATCTCTTTTTCATCAATGATGGATGATATGGCTAAGGAGATCCTGGCTTGGGGTGCCCTTGAAGTTGTGGTGGCACCAATGACTGATGCATGGGTACTCATGGGCAACCATGGAACTTGGGTGTAGAGCACAGGTATACATGGTGATATAGTGTATTTGTCATTCAGGGTGCTAGCTAGTTTGTAGATGTGGTCACTCCAATGTGTTATGTGGGGCACATGGAATACTCTCAGAGTTGGCGTATGGAGTATAGTGAATTACCTTTGGCTTTTGAGTTTGGTGCATGAGAGAGGTTGTGGGAGGGGGGTGGTGGAAATCCTGGTCTTATAATGGTACAACAGTATTCATTATGGAATGGGGAGAGAGACAGGATAATTTCTATCCCTGAGTAGCTCTGTTGGTATCTCAGCAATGAAAGCTGCCAGTGTCCTCTGAAGAACAATCTGTTGGGATTCAGG